GCGGAAGAATCCGTCGCGCAAGAGTAAAGGCAATCGTTTATTTAATCTTTTGGTAAATCTGAAGGAGAGCTCCCTCCTCACCAACATCATCCTGAACCAGTAGCCACGGAAGACTATATAATTGCTCTACTGAATATGGCATTATAAATATTTTGGAATTGCACAGAACAATATATAATATGTCATTGAGGTTGAGCGCTCAAGTACATCACGTGACCACGGGACATGCGCGCATGTGGTCGCGGAGCATGTCCGTAGTCGCTACATCGCGTCGGTATGACAGGTCTCATAACTTGATAGTCGTCAACTTTAACATATTTCGTTTCGCGGGGCAGAGCGGGGCTTTTTTCTGCCAGATTCGTTCGTTTTGTGCAAAAACGCGTCGATTAAGCCTAAATTCAGCGAAATCGGTGAGGAGGGAGCTCTCCTTCAGATTTACCGAAAAAAATCATTTGTTTTTTAGTTAAACGAGAAGAGAGAATCTTGGAGGTCTTTTTGTCTTTCTCTCATTACAGAAATAAGATATAAGTCCAGATATCTCCTTCTCGCTCTACGTTTCTCTCACTGTCTCTCAAGTCCTCGCGCCCGGTCTCGATTCACCTAATGTCTATGGCCGCACGATTCGCTGCGCTTTCCGAACGCAGTTCCGTTCCCACTTCCCACAGTCAGGGCTGCCAGATTGGGCTATTTAACGCAAATTGGGCTATCTAGAGGACTCTTGTGCGGTATAAATTTTTCAAACGAGGATTTCCGCATTTTGCTATTTTTTAAGCCACGGTGTAAAATATAATTTTTATGTAATCTTACAATTATATCTTACAGTACACCGTGTCTTGAGCGAAAATACTCAATTCATCTGGGTTTGAATTTGTGGAAACACCGATAGTTTGGCACTATGAGATTTGCAACACTGGTTTACAAATCTATGGCTGCATTCTACGCTTGCGCCGCACAGACAAGGAACGCACTTGGACATTGCACGACAGAGATGCCAGGTCTCAGCTTTGCACGAACACGACGAAATGGCACGTCGGTGTGACGCTTCGACAAATTGACGAGCGCCAAGCGCCACACTGACGTGCCTTGTCGTTGTGTCTGCACAAAACCAAGGCCACGATTTGACATCTTTACACAGTCCTGTTCTTGTCTGATCGTTATTAATAGCTTTTATGAGCGGGTAGTTTTAAATTTGTCTTATGGTATCTATATCGTGTGCAATAATTTAATAAATGTGATATATATATTGTATATTACAATAGTAAAGATGGGTAAATGGGGTAAATATAAGAAACGTTTCCAAAAGAAATGGTTAATAGAACTAGAACTGAAGAGTAAGTATCAAATCTGTACTGTTTTAACTTTATTTTTTTTTGTTTAATGCTTCTATTATATTCTTTGAGATTTAAGTTTATATATGCCTAGTGAGAAATAATAGTTGATAGAATAGATGTTGAATTAGACGTCGAATGCGTCGAAGAGAGGTCTAATTCGACGTCTTTTCATTTTTACTGTGTCCATAGATTGGCTTGAAGAAAGCAATGAGATTGATGTGTTGAATGGCAAGCAGGAAGCGTACTGTAAACTATGCAATTGTCATTTGCGTGCAAAGCATAGTGATCTTATAGCCCATAAGAAATCTAATAAACATTGCGAGAAAGAGCAAGTCCTAGACAGAAAAACACAGTCTTCGATGCGACAGCATGGTTTATTATCATATTATATGATATTATATTATATCATATTATATGAGATACGAAAAAAAAGCGATATTGGGCTACATTGCTAGGGAATGTGCGGATTTTGGGCTAGCTCAGCTCGCTCTAGCGGCGGTTTCTGCGGCACACATTCTGGCAGCCCTGCCCACAGTTCCCACTTCCCAGTCTCCCAGCCGTCTGTCACCTGACGTACAGTATACTACGCATCGTGCTCACGCCAGAGGTGGGGGTGGCCTAGCGCAGTGAGTCAAGTGAGTGAACAACAGTGAACAACCGAGTCGACGAGCGAAGAGAGCCAGCACACTGCTAGCGGTTACTGGTTACTGGCGATCAGCAGCGAGTCCCGTGGCGATTCCGCGGATTCCCCAAGGAACGAACGGCGTACCCGCAGCGCCGACGACGACGGTGCCGCGGCTGTTGCCAAGGCGGTTTCCGCGATCATTCCGATTTGCCTGCCGCACGCGAACACGACGATCGATACACGCCGATCTCGCGGCTACGCTTCAGCTATGCGCCCGTCCCGGCCGATGTTTATGGTCGTCGTTCACGTCGACTGACAGCTGTCAATCCCACATTCGGAGTCGCCCGTGAGTCACCGGATCGGCAGCCGAGGGCCAGCTCAGGTGATCCCCTCGATTATATCGTTCCCGATTGCGGGTTTCGCCTACCTACCTGCGCACGTCGCGCGTCTTTCTTCACGTACGTTTTTTTTTTTGTTCTTTCATTCTTTCGCGATCTTGATTTTTTTTTCCAAAGCTCTCCTCTCGACTTCTCTTCCTCTCCCTTTTTCTCAGACGAGTCCTACGAGACAGTAGCATAGATCGAGCGCTATTAAAGCTTCCACGGACCACCTGCACGAGGACGGTATCAACCCCCGCGCAGGTATCGCACGTCACAACCTACCCTTTGTTCAGATGTCCAGGTATTTTTTGTAAGGACCCATTTTTATTTTGTTCTCTTTCTCGTTCTCTTTGCACGACACGCACTCTGCTTCTTACCGCTCCCGTGAGCGCGCGCGATGAACGTGTATCATCACTGCCGAGTTGTTTTGCGTTGCAGCGATATCACCGGCATGGCGTCCAGCTCCGTCAGCCAGGAGGACTTCGACAACGACTTCGAGTTGACGTCCAGGAGACCCAGGATTAGAACCGCTAGGACCAGAGTGGTCCCGGCGAGGACAGGAGATGTGTCTTCCATAAGCTTTCAAAGTACGTGGTTGCAAAAGTGTTTGCGAGTGTGCAACTTGAGATTCTTGGATTGTCAGCCTTCGCTCGTTTTAAGCTTGAACCTGAAGCAGACAGAGGATAACGAATTAGGGCCAAATGTAACATTTGATTAAACTCACTCTTCGTCTCTTTCTAACTGTTTCCCTTAGAAAGAGACAAAGAATGAGTTTAATCGAAGGTTGCAGTTAATTGACATTGGTGAAACTGGGCCTTAGAACGAGAACTTTGAAACTCGGTGAAAATTAGGAGATTATGACAATTTTGTAAATTCAAAGGCTTTTTGTACAAAGAATTATTGCAAAAGATGTTTGCAGTTGAGAAAACATAATTTTTTTGAACGTTTATCTTGAAGCTTCTACAAATAAAGATGATAAACAATAAATGAATTTAAAGCTAATAAACTAATATTTTTATAAAATATGATATAATTTTTGAAAACTTTAAATTACGTATTCAAAAATCAGATATTACAAATATCTGTTCTTAATGTCTGTGTTTGTGTATTTCGTAAGGAAACCTCACGAACCCGAAAATTGATGAAACTTTACATATGTAGGGGAAGTAAATAGATAAGGGTTAGTTTCACCTGTTGGAATCGTTTTTGGGCCACAACTAAAAATTTATAAATTCCTCTATTTCCCCCTCTTCCCCTACACGTGTGTAAAGTTTCATCAACATCAGGATTTTCGGGTTTGTGAGAGGTTTTGTGTTAGTAATATAAAATACAATATTATAGGTGCATTAAGAAATTTATAAAATTGTTTAAAAATATTGATGTAATAAATAGAAATATATTATTTTACGCGTATATAAGTAATATGATCTAGCACCTAATAATGATATGAGTTAAAAAGAGAATTCATGTGCGATCAGAAGTTAATGGTATAATCTTATCAACCTAATTGCCTCCGATGCCTTTCATTTACAGAGAATACAACCGATGTGGAGGAATCGCAAGGCGTTTATGACGCAAGCTCCAACCCCGTGCTTCCGACCGAGCACGAAAACCCGCAGAGCAAGCCCATAATAAGGAAGCAGGATAAGCGCGTGACCGGCCGGTATGTAAATCGCGATCGCATGCGCTTACGAAGCTGATAGAAAACCATAGAGAAACTTATTGTCGCGCTTGGAGTGTCCATTAGCCAACAGCATCTTTGATGCACGGAACTTTACGTAATTGCCTAATATACTTTCTGGATTCTGGTTCTAGTGTCTTTAGTGTCGTATCCTGTTTGCACAGGCCAACGCATATAAACAAGGGAAAGCAGCAACGCGATCGACGGAAACTGCGAGAAAAACGCCGTAGCACAGGGGTCGTGCATTTACCGTCGACAGAGGTTCGCCATTGTTACCGTCAATCAACCCATAAGTAACCGTTCGAATTAAATTTATAACGGAAATTATAGTATAATAATGCGACTTCTAGAATTTAAAAAAAAATATTCGGTCTTCAAAATCATTGAATTATAAAACTGCGGGTTTGCGAATTATTGAATTTCTGGACATACGCGTTGTTGAAACCATGCATCTTACAATCTTGCGTTTCTAGGTTTTTGAAGTTTTGAAATCTTTTTTTTATTCCTAGATTTTTACACAAACACACACACACACACACAGTTCTGATGCGTTTTCTATCTTGAATCTTTCAAATTCTAGATCTTTAGCATTTTAGCTAAAGTAATCGACAATTAAAATTGAGTAAAATGGATTGCTACTCTTTCCTTTTTTTGCCACAAAGCTTTTGATAAGGAGAAATAAATTTCATGTGAACAAAAAGAAGATCTTAAAATAGAAATCTCAACATCACAATTGTTCGAGTATTTTGATAGTTACAATCATAAAAATGTTAATTAAAATTAATACGATAAAATTTTTCATGAAATGCTAAGCTTGGCAGCTTTACTTGTGGGATATAGCTCACTTTATTCTTGAATGTTTAAGTGTTGTAAAAATGTCTCGGACATTTGGTAAAATGCGTAATTTCTCAGAGCACTGGAGGTAGTACGGGGGAAGACGAGGAAGAGCTTAGTGGCACTTGCCTTGAAACTAAGCACAACACGCATCACAATGAATTTCTTGATCACGAATTGATAGAAGTAAGTGCAGTCAATTCCACTTTTTACTTTTTATGCAGAATGTTCCGACAAATGCGTACGCTGGAAAAGATTCGTATAAGAAGACCGAAATTAGTTTACACGCAGCTTATGTTGTACATTTCTTTATAGTAGTCTCGAAAGTTGAGAGAAAGAGAGAGATTTAAGTTTTATATTTTATATTCTCTTCTATGTATATACCCACATACATATGATGCATAATTACGAACATACGTATGATACAGTTGGAATTTGTTATCAGAACAGAAATTAGAATTATTCATTTTGTGTGTCATCGGCTACAAAAAAAGCTAGAAAATAGTCATTAACTGTAATTTTCTATCTTTTAATTGAAGTAATTTTAATTTATTATTTATTATTGCGATCAAAATTACACGAAGTTTCAATGAAGTTCAAACTTTTAAACATGCCTTCGAACGTTTAATTAATGGCTCTTTCTTAAAACTAAGGATATACATAATGATGCATGATAAGCAAAGAGAAATGTTAAAATAGTAGCAAGCTTAGAACTCTTGTTATCGCAAAGTTGATATTTTTAAGCAGTTACTTATAAATTTGCATTTTGCAGGAGCGGAACGCCAGAATATACACACAAAGGCGAAACAAAAGGTATCTCACCCACATTCACATGTAATTAATGATAGTGGGAAATAAGGATAATGGGAAACAAGCACTTTTTTGTCATGGAGCCAGTAGCTATCTTTGACCGTCTTTTTTAACGAATCACAACTGCTTTCTAGGCACTACCGTACTTCATACAGGTCATGTATAGTAAGGCACAGTTGGTAAGTGCACATCATATCGGAGGAACTACGATTAGGCACGACCTGTACGAAGTACGATAGAGCTAGTAGAATCTCTCTCTTGATTATTGATTAACAAATTACTTAATCCATTATGTTTTCCGAAACCTACGTACATTCCCAAATAACTGATAACACTCAATGTAATGGTCACATTATGAAGTAATTAATAACAATGAAATTCGAATATGAAAGACTTGTTGCAATACAAAGGATATAATATGCGAAATAGTTGAGCCTAAATGCGTTTAAAACAAAAAAAATGAGTATAATTAGTCTAATATTTTCTCTAACTAATAAAAAATTTGGTTAATCTGCCAATATTATTTTTATTATTACAATAATTAAAGAATAATTATTCGTGTTTCCTTATATCAATATCATAAATTAAAAATAATAAAATTTTGAAAAATATGATTGTAATGACTGTAAAACGAAGAACAGAATATTAAGTCACGAAAAAATTAATGAGATTTTCATCTCCCTTTAATAATTACTGTCTTCCTTCAGAAGTAAAGCTTCTTGCTTGTAAAATATACCTTTTGGTTTAGTATACCAATGCAGTAAGATTTTTTATTAACAACATATATTTGTACCGCAATTGAAATAGTAGTGACTAGTGATTACATTTGTGCAATATTCTTTGTACCTGCATCGATGGTCGTGCCTAATGCGATTTATAAATGGCATAATATACATAATACTAATGGAAACTAATAATCAATATCTGTGCGATAAGCGAAACGTGATTTACATGCGATCGTTGACGTCTGCGTTTTAGTCACTCTGATTTGGAGGCCGACGACGAAGAGTTCGATTCTCTCAATCAATCCGACAGCATTAATCAATCGGACCACGGCAATCACGAGCCGCAGACGTCTGTCAATGCGACTGTCAGACCAAGATTGCCGACGCCAACGGGCGACAACCCGCACGAAGTGAGTCATTAATAAATTTGACAAAATATGCTCAATTATGCGTAGTCTAAAATTGAGTTAATTTTTAACGAAAGAAAGACTGAAATTTTATTACAATAGAAAACGAATCTATTTTCTATTGGTATATATTAAGTAATGGTACAACTTGACAATGATAATCAAATATAATGCGGTTTATAGCTGATCGAACGAGCGCAAGAGGAAAACAGGAGGCTGCTATCCCTTCTGGAAGATCGGGACCATAAAATAATGGCGCTCGAGGCTCGCCTTTTAAAGCAACAGCACGAGTTGACCCTGGAACGAGACCGACTTCGCGAGGAAAATGCCACGTTGATTCGCGCGATGGCGGCGTTAGCCAGCAACTAATCCTCTTCATGTAATAAAGATCACGCCTTCTTGGCTCTTTGCTCCTTACAATAATCGCCGAGCTGCAGGATGAGCCATAAGTCGCGCACCGCGTTGATCCCTTAATCATTACTATGTATATTATTCTTTTCGTATTTGCAAAAAAAAACAGAATACGATTCACTCGGCCTATGGAAATCTAATTTTTGCATTGTATCCCAAATTTCGATTGTTGGGAGATAAATGTGACAGCCGCAGGCTAAACGACTGAAAATCCGGTATTGCGTTAACTATTTTATTATTGTTGATATTGTGATATATATACATATATTTCTATGTAATATAGAAGGCAAAATGATCGAAGAATGATCAATGATTTCTCTATTGAGTGTTAAACCAATAGAATTTTTTTTACATTTGGATTTTCGGACAATTATTAAATTCAAATTATTAAGGTAAAAATTGTACTTTGCACTAAATATCTTGATTACTTTTGTGATACATTGTGTGCTTTCTCTTACTCAATATGATACAGTGTGAAGGATGAGTTAATCCTTTTTCTCCCAAGTTTTTTTTAAAGCTGTTTTTATGCAAAAATCTGCGAGATTTATATTAATTTTCAAAGGATAAGGGCTAAAAGAAAAATGGTACATCTTTTTATCTTGCTTTTTCTTTTTTTCCTATCGGTGGCTATGAAGCTAAGATAAACTGAAAATCATGCATTATGTTAATTCTTACTTTTTTTTTTTTAATGAAAGGCTGAGAATTTACTAAAATATATAAGCGAATTAGCTCGTAACGAAAGAAACTTAGATTGATAGTGATAAGAGTTTAGATATTCAGTTTAATAAAACTAAAAGGATATTTCACATTGCATTCGTGATAATTAATTTTCTGTATTCCTCTGATGCATGATTTATGGATCATCCTAAGCAATAAGGAAGACATACCTAAGTAGTAAGTGAATCTACCTTTAGTGCGTATCGCAAATTGAGTCATTATAAATAAACAGATAATTCTCTAATCACACAGTGTTAGCTGCGGAAAGTATAAATATACGTTTTTGCAAGCTGCAACGCGAGTTACATTTTGTAAAAAGCAATAGCAATCCGCCACCTTGTAAAGATATTATTGTGACAATTGAATCTGCCCTCACTCGCAGAGCTTTGGTCGCAGGCACAGATCGCACGTTTATTGTCGATGTATTTGCTATTTGCTATTGCCGATTAATTGCCGTTTTTTTTTTGTTTCACTGTGTTCCAATCGAGCAGATACATTGAAACCACGTGAAAGTGCCGATTATGACGTAAGCGACTTAATCCGTTTTCTATTGTAATAATGTAAGAATGGACGTTCTATGTAAGTTTTATACTTGCAATACACGATAATGTAATATTATGAATCATTTTATTATTTTATTACTATTAATATTATTATTATTATACGCGAACCGTACAAAATTCTGTATATATAGACACACAGATGATTGTAGCGATTAATCGATGCATTTGATTAGAAAGACCTCCCCGCGACAAACTTGTGCACTACGCGGGATGATGTAACAATGTGTAAAATTGTTTGAAGAAAGACTTTTATTGTCAGCCGTTCAATGATTTACTCTATTCCAGGCCTCATTCCTTTCGACATGTCAAAGACAACTAGACGTCTTATAGAAGTTTGTTTGAAGAAAAGTTTCTTGCATTTGCTTTTCTCTATGCTCATTTAAAGACAACTAGACGTCTTATAGAAGTTCGTTTGAAGAAAAGTTTCTTGCATTTGCTTTTCTCTATGCTCATTGATATAATCATTCTGCGTGAATGATTTCTTTTCAAATTTATATTGTGTGATTTAAAGTGAGATAAGATGGAATAGAAAAGAATCGCCCGATGGCGACGTACATGGAAGTGTAGCATTGAAACAAGCCCCAATATGAACCGGCAAAAAGAGTTTGCATTTTTTATTCATAAAATAACTAAATAAATTTTTAATATAATACAATACTTGCACGCACATACGCAATATAGTTACATCTTTACGCTATGTTTCCTAATCACTACGTAGCTGTACATTACAAATCGTTGGGATCCGATCATACACTTGGGGTCTCCCACCTTCAAATCCATTTTCTCATACGTCTGCCCTTTGTTCTTATCCTTTCGAAATGTACGCTTTGATCCCTCGAGGATCCGTTTGTCTTATTATAGCAACTTATTCCGCTAAAAGACCCCGGAAATAGTTCGACCCGTAAAGCTTCACGACGTGATTTTCCAAAATGTTGTATAAAACTTTGTTAAAATACTTCATGTCGCATTTAATGAGAAATATATCGATTGGTTCGCAAGAAGATACTTCCAAAAGGCGCAAACATCTCGAAAGGGCAAGCGACCCTTCGCAGGCACCCTTTAACAATAAAAAGATACGACGACGTGCAATAAATAATTGCCAGTTTGATTGCTTACGCGTAGAAACGTATCCCTTCGAGACTGACATTAAATAATTTCTAAAATCACTTCTAAAGCCATTTCGAGAAACTACAATTTTAATTAACAGTTAATGCAAAAATGTCAATTGGATTTAAAAGACTAAATAAAATTTAAGTAAAATTTACGAATAAATAAGATATGTGATAAAAAAAAAGAAAAATGAATGAAACTGGAAGTTAAATCAGATTAAAACGAAAAACTCTTGTTGCTAAAAAAAAATTACATTTCGAGCTTTCCCGACGAGTAGAAAGGTAAAATAAGCGAAAGTATTAACGAGTGCACTTTTTATTCAAAATCTGATTTATCCTCCAGAGTTCCATTCATTCGTTACAACGAGCCTCAAGGGGAAACGAATCGCGTTTCGAAGGCCAAATTAATTGACCACTGGCTGATCAATTAACCATTTTGATTACGCTGCCCTTTGATTAATGAAAAACGCCATGATTTATCGCAAGTCGTCGTATTAGTTATTGCCGGTGTCTCGATAAAACACATACACACACTTTGTGATGCAACAGGTACTACGCTTCTATATCAACCCTCTCCTCTCTCCGCTCTCGATCGCTGGCAAGGTAACTAATCGTTTAATTGTCTACACCGTGCGCCTCTACGACTATTTTTTTTCAGTTCTCTGTCGTTTATCGCAAGGCAACGCTTCGCTGATATGTACCGTTTTGTTTCAAGATTGAATTAATTAACCGAATTCGTCGTCGTAGACAAAATCTTAAGGAACTTGGTTCTTTCTTCACCTTCCCCCCCGTCGTTCGCAACTCCTTCTCCCGCGATTCGCGATATAAGCTTCATCACGAAGTTATTGTCTCGGCTGTAATTAAGTCGTTAACAAGGCGCCATCGCGACCGCGTGATATTTCGGTTAGTCGAACCGCGAGATCGTTGTTTGCACGGCGGTAATTCTCGTCTACGTTGCAAACCGCAGCTGTAAAAGCTGACGCACCTCGCTTTGGAACACTCGCTTGCGTCGTGTTTTTTTGGTCGTATCTTTAAGAGCGATTTTGTCTGGATAAATGTGCATGGAGCGCTCATGTACAAATCCAACTACAACTAAGATCCTCCAATTCCTAATCCTTGCAAAAAAAAAAATATATTCCTTGTGTCTTATCGTCTAATAATTACATACATTTTGCGCAATTACACGACCATTAACTCTCCCCGTTACCGTAAACTACAAGAGCATCTTCGCGCTTCGTGTGTCTCGCCTCATTCGCATCATCGTACATATCATCATCCCAACAAACGACTAGATCACGATGGTTGGACCTCAACCAGATCCTTAAATGCTAAGGGAGCTTAACGAACTAAGCTATTCTCAGTGAACGATATATTATTATTTCTCCTTTATCAAATATCAACGCAATTGTGTGCCGCAATCGAAATGCAGACGCACATGCGAACTCCCCCGCTCTTGGTTATAATAGTTTCGATCGATTCGCTTTATTGTACCTATATATTCTTCTCTCCTGTCGTCTTAGCGCTCTCTCTCTCTTTCTCCCTCACCATCGTTTTTTAATTTATCTGGATGTATTAACTAAGTGCTAATGATCGTTCCAATTTTATTTAATGAACAGTTCCTTTCTTCCACAGAAGACCCACCATTAAATTAACATTCCGTTTTACGTGATGCTGATGCACAGGGTGTCTCGAGAGAAGAAGTACACCATAGATCGAGTATACGTATTTGCCTACAGATAGAATCGACAATTTTCTTTAGAGAAATATATAATAAACCATCAACCTGCATTTATTGGCTGATCTTTAATGTTAAATAAAACGGCGTTTTTAAGATAAAAATCCTCATCTTCATATCTTCATATCATTGGAAAATATCCACACAGTATAGAAAAATATTTATTTAAAAAATTGCAACATTATACATTTTGTGCAATGCTACTGCCTCGTTCGGATTTTGCATTTCCATCATCTCTACGATATTTTTGGAAGCTTGTTCTATAATATGCAATTAAAAAGCTTAATGCTGAATACGATCATGAATAGGCAAATACTTATGAACGATTTTATCAGTAGCACAATTGCACGTTCTCGAAAAAAAAACTTTACTTTCTTCGCTCATAATCGCGTACGTTTCATTTTTTATTAAATACATTTCATTCTAAATAAAAGCTTTTGAAAATAGTACAAAATAATCCTCTATTTGTCCACACAAAATAAAATGCCGGCTAAAAACAAACTATAATACTATAAAAATACGTAATATCTCTCCCGAAATATTGTTTTTGCATCGGAAGAGACAACTCAATCAAATTCCGAACGTGCAGCCGTGTCCACTATCATAACATATCGATTTCACGTTAATCGATCTCACATTGAAAATTAATTAAATTGTTGCCGCTCTCATTAATGTGACTTAACAGAAAATACATCGTACCGAAAATAAAAATTACCTGAGATGAGACTCTATTACTGCGAAAACATATTTCTGTTAATTGAACGACTAAAATGTCGATATTTCTGTCCTCGTGACACCCCGTACATGTTGAGTCGACGATTATCTTCTCCATACAGAAAATAATTCTACTAAAAATTCATGCCTGACTTGCGGGAAGTCAATTGAGAGGCAAGCGTCCGGTTTTATTGATTAAAAGTTGAAAAAAGTATTATGTCCAGTAGGAAGATCAAAGAACATGGGTTTCACCAATTTTGATTTACTTTTTGTGCGTGCTATATTGACTTAAACTGCCTTTTCATGTTAATGAAAAGATTGGACTTTCAAAGTTTAAAGATGTAAGATGTAAGATGTTTAAAGTGTCGCGTAAGATCAGTGAGGCTAACTAATTTGGGAATAATTATGTATATACTGTTAACTTTTATATTAACATGTGCTCAAACTGTGAAATGTACATATGTCTAATGTTAAATAATATCTCAATAATAGAAACTTATAGATCTCTAATAATAATCGATTATTCATCAATCTCAAAATTATGAGAATAAATTTTCAATGTTTTGTCCTGAGTTTCATTTCCATGTTATAAGCTGCCTATAATTAATCATTGGAACAATTACTTCCTCCGATATTTCGTATCTTCCTCCCTCGCTTCCTCTTACATAAACAATGTCAGACGACAGTCAACCGTTTAATGAGAAGCTCGTAGGCGAGCATTCTGCATGTTTTCACTTGCCTCTCTATCGACTCGACCAGGCGTATTATGGAACACTGTGTGTCGTAAGTACAAGTTATGTTCACCGTTCGCGCGAACGTCACTCGAAAATAAATAATCGCGACGCGCTGCTGCTCGTTATCGAAGCTGGAAGCGAGCGTGCTCGAATTCTTCTCACGTGAAATACGCTCCCTGCCACTTTACGCCTCTCCGCAGTGGAGAATCTTCCTGTAACTATCTTTTTTTTTCCTGGATATACGTATGAAGAAGTTACATCGCATTCGTAACGTTTCGAGCTGATTTATTATTGCATGTAGGACATATGGACTAATTTCTGTATGTGGCACTAATAAGGAATAATAATTTAATCATCCATAGAGATAAATCATCTTTCGTAAAAATACGACGTGTCTTCTTCACACATTTGTGTCCCTTCGAGTCCCTTAATAAGTCGCGATTTGTCAGTTCGGCAGTTTGACTTCACCATTTTTAATTGAATGGTCGTCCCGAAGGCACAGAATCCGGGGGAAAAACGTACTAATTCTTAAAAAAAGACTTAAGAGCCAATAATTTCTAGGCTGAAGAGCCTGAGGTGAAAAACTCGACAAGTCAAATGTCGTGTGACGCGAAGATTGGAAAAACCGAAAATTCCGCAGATCCGCATTCCGGGATTTCGTGAAAAAGGACGCCGTGGGCATCATTGTTCCTGCTTGCAGAATCTTCGTACGGTTGAATCCGGTATCTTCAGACGATCTCGGCGATCCAATCCCGCGAACTACGTTTTTATTCGTCCGGGTTTGTCGCGTAGAGGCGCAGGAAGGACGTCGACATTCACTTTTAGTGATCTCTCAGGATATGTTTGCGTCTTTGCGGCACCGACGCCGTCGCCGACGATCCGGTACTCTCGAAAGAGGCCGGAAAAAGAAGATACGAGAGAGATGCCCGGTCTCAGACGCTACAGCCGGAGGTGACTACCTCCTCGCTGTTAGGCTGATGACTCCACCTGCACTGATGACAACTGCCCGTCGTCGTCGCTGCCGTCGACGACGTCGTCGTCGTCGTTGACGTTGTCGTCGCCGTCGTGGGCTCCTCCGGCGCGGAGTTGGCGACGTCACCGGACGCCCGCAGGCCCTGCTCGAGCTCCAACAGCTGACCCATGAAGTTCAGGTTCGGACTGATGATCGGACGCGCGTTTTTCACCAGTTTGTACGCCTCCACCATCGACAGGCCTTTGTGCCGCATTATGTAAGCGATCGCGATTGTTGCGCTGCGCGACACACCAGCTTGACAGTGCACCAGCACGCTGCTTCCAGCCTTCCGCGCTTCCTCTGGAACAGGAGACAAATTGCGAGATAAATGCGTGTTTCGTTTCTTTTTTACAGTAGTGATGATGAAAAGTTATTCAACGATCTAAAGGAAAACCATCACTTTTCAATTACGATAAGAAAATACCTGCTCTAATTTATTCTTAATTTAATAATAATCTCAAATTTCGTAAAAAGTCAACAGAAAGATGCACGAAAAAACGGCAGCATATTTTGTAATTATTGAATTTAATTTCTTTTCAATATACAAAAAGAAATTTTGGTAATGTTTTTAGATGTCTTATTGCTCCGTAATTATTCAAAAACTACGTTGTGATTAAAAACATATATTCAATGCTGATCTACGAGACTGTAGATCACTCTACTGCAGCGTGCAGAAAATATGCGTTTGCTTGTATTTAGTTCGAAATCTTCTTTGTATATAACACTGAAACAAAGATTTCAAGATTCACGCTTTGTACGACGCGTACTTTTGAAAAATATGAACAAGTCGAGCTCGTAAATGTTGAAACGAAACAGTCGTGAAACCCGAACGACCGACTCGGGTTATGCAATATATGGGGGATGCTATCGTATCGTATCGCCAGCGTGAGTCACTGCATCGCCCGGATCCTATGCAGACTATGCAAACGTTCTATCGCACGCTGCGAGAGAATTCGACTACGTGACTGCGTGGGACAAGTTGATCGCATCTTTCGGAAGATAGCTTTAATCGTGCACTTCAAGACATATCTTAATACTAGACCTTGTTAATCCGTATACTTTTAAATCGATCATGATAAAAGACGAAAAATGATATCGTGCACTGAGAAGACGCACGACGCGGAGAAATTGCAAGTCTGGCCAATAAAAAAAGAGGAAAAATAAATACATACACGCTTACATAACTTACTAAATCTTAAGAATAATGTGAACATTTTTAAGCCGATCATAATAAAAATGGAAAGAAATATCTTTTATGTTCTTTACTGAAAAGATGCATAACGCGGAGAAATTACAAGTCTAGCCGATAAAAAAGGAAGAAAAATAAATAAATACACTCAAATATCTTATTAAACCTTAATAATAACCTAAACACTTCTAAATCGATTCAAATAATAGAGGAAAAGATTTTTGTTACGTTTTTTATCGAAAAGATGCAAGGTACGAAAAAATTACAAGTCTAGATAAAAATAGGAAAGTAGTTACATACACTTGAAAATATCTTGTTAATCTTAATAATTTAAACATTTTCAAGTTCGTAATAAAAGAAGAAAAAATATATTATTTATCTACAGCGAAGACGCGTGGAAAAAAAATTGCAAGTCTCGACAGAAAAAAGGAAAAAAAAGATAGCTACTCGGCATCGTCGAATTTGTGATTAAGCGAATCACGATGCGTGAAGGAATGAGTTTCTCGAAAGTAAACTTCAGGATCGGGTGCCACAACGACGACAGGGTGCGGAGTCGGTTTATTCAACCGGCATTCCACCAGTTGCACGCTCGGGAGGAGGCCCGTTTCCCTCCATCCCTCTGTCTCTCTCTCTCTCTCTCCCTTTCGTCCCTTTTCGAGCCCTTACAACCGCCACGCACGACTGCTACCCTGCTTTTCCCTTCCACGTGTAATTCCCCTCCCTCTCACGTCTCCTCTCCTCTCGCAGATGCGCGGTGCGCTCGTAGAATAGTGCGTGAAGAACGCGCGAGAGAAGGAGTTCGACGACGTCAAGGATGAAGGAGGAGAGAGAAAACGCAGGGTCAAAGGGTGAAGGGGGGAAGTCTCTTACGTTTCAAGCGCGCGCGCATGACTCATGCCTTCATGAATGGAAGGTTCTTCTGGTCTCCTGCTGTTCGAGCGCTCTGGTTCAATGGTCCACCGGAAACGCCTGGTTACACCCTGTTTCCGTCCATGGGCTCGCTACTACTTGCCGCGAAATAACGGAATGAACGCAACGGAGCGACCGGAAGAAGAACGGCAGGAAGCGTGCCGCCGGCGTAATCGTGGAAATTACGTTCAACCGACGATCATCGTGTCGGATATCGAGGACCAAAGATTGGCGTGTCGACTTTGAATTATTTCGTTGTTGTTGCGAAATTGTGTTCAAAGGAAAGAGGATGTTTCTAAACAATTAGCAGAAGACAGTTCTCTCGACAACATTTTTCAAATTTTGAATAAAGAGCCTGTTACTTTTAGAAAGCTGCACGGACGATGGCAACGTAAAATAATACCCGATGTTCTGCCATTGTTCTAAAAAGGCAGTCCCTCGTTTAATCCTCTCGACAACATTTTTCAAATTGTAAATAAAGAGCCTGTTACTTTTAGAAAACTGCACAGACGACGACAACGTAAAATAATACCCGATGTTCTACCATTGTTCTAAAAAGGCAGTCCCTCGTTTAACCCGGGAACTAACGCCTGGGGTGATTTTTACATCCCAGTGTCGAGTAAATGAAGCTCACGTCAACAGTAATTTTAATATGCTTCTTTCGTTTTTTTAACATTTTTTGTTTCTCTTTAATTTTTTAAGAAAATGTTGAGTAAGGGTATATACATATTGTCCCCAAATACTAATAAATTATAAAACAATAAACAATATATAAATAATAACGATGACTTTGAATGGGGATGTAAAAATCACCCCAGGTGACCATTTATAAAAAAAAATCAGGTACCCGTTTCCGGATTAAACCTGGCTCTTATTTAAACTCTTCCATGATCTCTCCGACAATACAAAAGGGAGAAAAACTTGAAGCAAAAGCACTCACCGATGAAATCGAACGCTTCCTCGAAGTACTGCTTGAGGTTCTGATGGCCGGAGTCCGAGGCGGGTATCTGCCTGTACGTGATACCCCGTTCCTCGTGGTAGCCGGGCAGCTGCGATGTGACGTTCAGCACCCGGGTGGCGCCGAGGGCGCGCAGTAGCTGCAGATCGGCGGCGTCCCGGCCGTTACCGAGGTAAAGGAACGGCAGCACGCGGGACGCCGGGTGACTGTCGATGTCGGCCGGCTGCGGGGTCGGCGGGCCGGAGATGCTCAGCACGGGACAACCCGGTCCAGGACTCGTGCAGCCGCTCACCGTCGTCGTCGACGGATCGGCGACGGCGGCGGCGGCAGCGGCAGCGGCGGCCGCGCCGTTCGGCAGAAGCGTGTCCTCGCATAGGTCTCGATGCCGCTTGTGGAACTCCCGGTGTCCACCTGAAACATTCGGTAATTAATTAATAAGAAAAATGTTGATATTTTACGTATATACATTATTATTAAGGTCAGTCTACAATGAGTCGTTAGTCGTTAGTCAGATGTCGGAAGAGAGTCCAGAAGAAATAGTCATAAGCGTATCGTAAGGCAATCGGAAGTCTGTAATCGGTGATCGTAAGAGGCATTTGGTCAATCGCTTACGATCGCCGATTACAGACTTCCGATCGCCTTACGATACGCTTATGACTTTCCGATTCTCTTCCGACATCTGACTGTAACGACTAACAACTCATTGTAGACTGACCATTAATCCTAAGTTGTGATAAATGTAAGGGAAAATGCCAGACGATATCTTTTAATTTTCTGTTTAACGTTCAATTCTGTTAGTCCCGCGAGTAGCTCGTCGTCGAAGACAATTCCATGATTAGATTAATTTGCACGAAGCGAAAATTAACGCCGAACAAAGCCGGGGCGCGTACCTGCTTTCGAACGTATACATATATGAAACGTACACAACGCTTGCCGTCGATAAACAATGAGTACATGGTCGGTCGCGATTCTATATCTGTTAGAAACACTGGGAGAAACGTCGCCGAGCCAACTTATTGATTAACTCGGATATATACGTCCCGCGTGTTCCGAAATAATTATAACTCGCGCAACGATCTCATCCTCTATTTACAGGCTACTTTGTGGATCGTTATAGATTCTCGTTTGGAGAATCATCATTTGTGATATGAGAATTTTTACAAATATAGATGTTTTTCCTCTTCGTAAAAAATATTGGAGGTATAATGTCACGCCACATCAATCTTACCTCGCGTCATTAATTTGACATTATCTCACAAGCGTTTTTAGTTTAATCACTCATTTGTATGTTTGGAAAGGTGGGCACGATATCTCTAAACCACTCTATATGTAGGTCAAGGTAAATATTTAATGAATGATCGATCAGGCAAATTAATTTATTTACTTGAATTATAAACGCGGATCGTGACACAATATTTCGCCTACATCTAAAAAATAAAAAATCTTGAAGATCTCAAAAATATAAAAGATTTTAGAAATTCGGTCATTGCGCTTGTGTAAGATCACGGATTCGGAATCCTAGAAATGTGGAGCATCTGGAAGAGAATCTAAGGATAAGAGAAGCGATCGGACTTCAGAAACCTAAAAACACGAAGATCCGAAATTCAATTATCTCACGATCAAGCAGCCGAAGCATTCGAGCAGAATTCGAAGCCTCGAACGGATTTAGAGAAGCGATAAATTTTCGAAAGGATCTCTGAAAATGGGTATCTCTCGCGATCAACGAACGCGGAGAAAGAGATCTACGTTGCCAGTTGTTGCGTATACCGCGATTAATAGTATAGCGTAATTATCTCTGAATGTTTCCTGGAATGTTAATTCATAAAACGGCTCAGCTCGCGTCTTCTGTATCTCGAGGAGATGAGATCTCTCGGAAACCCGAAGAGACTTCTCGGAATGCCCCGTATATACATATATTTGTATCATTGGAAAATAAAAAGCGCTAGGGTCTCGTGGAGATTCCTGCTCTACGATTTACGTAAGCGACAATTGTGAGAGAAGTCGCAGAAGCCGGGACCCAAGACGAATCTCAGAGGGTGAGGGCCGTCGTCTGAGGACGACCGGTTCGCGACAGCCCAGCGTTGGGGGATGGTGGGATATTCCGCGACGGCGCGGGGAAAAAAATGGGCGGAAAGGAAGAAACGGACGGGGGATCCGAGAATAAACGGACGGCGGATAAAAATAAAGGAACGCCGTGAACGCGAAAAGGAGAGAGAAGGCGAGGAAGAAATGTGGGCTAAAAGTGTCTTCCTCTCCTGACCTGCGGCTGCTAAGGCCTGGCCTGGCTCAACGATGACTCACTCGTTAGCCCCCTCTCGTCCTCTCTGTCCCCCTCTCCCCCCGCCCTCCCCCCCGGGTCGGTTGGCTCTCTCGCGAAGCGGCCACCAACCCCAAACTGTCGTCGCCAATCATTATTCCAACGTTGGCAAAGCTCCTTTCCGATTTCAAATCCAGCTCGTGACAGTACGTGAGTAATACTGTGCAAAACGGTCTGTGTTTTGAAACGAATTTCCGGAAAATTCTCGAAATTGGAAGGAAGGATTCGCCGATCGTTGCTCCGATTTTGGCAAAAGTTGTTTGATTTCAATGATCTCTGATCGAGTATCGTCACGAAATATGAATTATCTCACGAGTAATGAAACACCATCTTTGGAAAATAATCATTTAAAAGAACAATGTACATGTAATTTCTATTCCGCGACTTCCATATTGGTCTCGTTTCCATACATCTGGCTTTCGCTGATCTATTTTTCATGCTACGGTGCCACGCACTATTAATACTGTGCACATTCCTTGTGCAATTTCTGCAGTGCAATAAAACAAATCGCACATAGATTAAATATCAAACCTATTTTGTCATAATAATTATAGGCTTTATTTAATAAAGTTCGAGAAGAGTTAGTGTTATATTAACTTCTAAAAAATGCCAGCTGTTGGAAGTGAGACGTCCGCGAAGCACAATCTCTTTATCAAATCTTTAGCGACTCCAACATTTGTTGCGAGTAATAGGCGATGATATATTCCATAAAAGTGAGAAAGAAGAATTCAGTGCCGACTACTGTATTGTTGTAAAAAGTACGGACTTGAAGAGGAAGTTGAACCGAATACGAAGATTATAAACGGTCAAAGTGTGAAGAGATAATGCACGAGAGCCGCAATGATCGTTGCGGAAAAACCGAATGTGGGTTACTTTTATTTAGGTCGGCATCGCGATCGAGAGATGGTGGTGCGATTTACACGTTGTGCGATCGCGCAACGGTCGTCGCACCCGATGGAAATCCTGTTACTCAAACACCATCACGTTCTCGAAGCAAGAATCTGCAGCGACAGCGTTTCGTATACGCGGCAACGAGAACTGTTTACAGCTTGTGGAATCCACGTTTTTGCTGATATCGAGAATTTTTGCGGATTATATTTACGATCGCGTATCGAAAAGGGAAGCGTGCCGAGCACGACCGCGGCGTGAGAATCCTCGACGAAAGCAGAAGTGATCGAATGTTTACACCAAGTATTGCAAAATTGCCGGCGTTGCATTAAACAAAGTTGGAGGAAAGAACGCGATTAACTTGATTATCGAGCTGCGCGCAAGGAAGAATTGAGGGATCTTTGTAACGGAAATTCTTCTACCTAGCGGAAGTTCAATTTGCGAAAATGATACTTTTCTATGTTTATGTTTCGTACAAAGATAGAAAAGAAAATATATGACTTAAAAGATAACATATGACTCCGTCTAATTTCTAAGAAGCCGTCACTGAAATAATTTGAGAATCGTGCAAAAGAAAGCAACGTAAAATGGGACGATCAATGATTTTCTGTAGTCATATAATGTAAACGAATTAATGCATGCAGCATTTCACGATTAATAATAAAAATTTGCAGCAAAATTGATTAAATAATATAAATTATTTTCTACGAATTCCATATATATTTAAACATAGCAACGTTTTACTTTTTATAACTTGTAGTTTGAATAGTTTAACTTGAAAATAATTAAGTTCATAACAAGATTTGTGTCATCGAATTTTCCCTAAGGAAAACCGAGCTCTAATTTGTCAAGGACGGTTAGAAGGAATTAAAAACAGCTAAAAAGGAAAAGAACAAGTTAGCGGGATAATCCAGCATGCATACGTATCGAAGAGAAGATTTCTTCAAGAAGAATTACGTGTCTACGGGCAAAACGACCAAATCTTTTGTGTGAGCGTTAAAACACAAAGTTACATCTGTAATATTTTAAAGATTTATACATGCAAGAATGTCGGAATTTAAAGAGCTGTTCAGCCATGGTGAATATCTCGTGATTTCTGGATCTGAATTCTATCTCCTTAACGCTTGAAATTCTAACGCCAGTTTTGCCTGTAAATATTATACGTAAAATACAATATTCTAACTGATATATAACTTGCTTTGCGACACTTGTAAAATATCTGCTAGCTCAACCGATACATTCTTTTTTTCTTTACCTAGAAAGACCAAGACAAAATAATACCTACATTCTTTCTGATCAGGTATGACATCATCGAGACGATGATTCAGGAATACGAAGCCGAAATAGTGATCGCTTAATAATAACAATCGAGGAGACGGATGGACAAACTTGACGGTGAACGCGGTGAACAAAAACCGCCGTTTAATCAGTCAGACGATCAACAGTCCCAAAAGTTACTCAGACACTGACGTAATTTTACACTCATGTTTTTATTTACCGCAAGTCCCCGAGGGACTTCCCCGTCGCGATGATGTCACTAACGCGCGCATAAGTATCTATAGGTATGGTGCGCGTTAAAAAAAAATTATATATTTATCAGAAAGTAAGAGGAGAAGCTCGTATATGAAACTCTGAAGGGGATCGATTTAACTTACTCCAAGAATCGAGATTCTCGAACGGCACCAGTCGGAGCACGAGGCAAGGTGCGCCCTTCCTGATCCTCATGACGTTTAAAATTAATCCTGAACGCAGATCCCAATCCTCTTCCCGCGGCCCGTACCGGTCTCACCGCGCCATTTGACACAGAATTTCGCGAAACGGAGACAATCCTCGCGCTACCCCAGGGGCACGGCCAAGCCGGAGACGCGCGAGATATCTTTTTACTTCTTTTTCTGTTATATTTATTTTCTTTTTTTTTCCTTCGGCGCTCCGCTTCGTTTCGTCGGAGCCACGAGGCGCGAATCGTGACGGCACCACGATTGGCGGGAGACTGCGGGCTGAACGGCACGAGAGAGTTTACATGAGGCCCCAGGTCGTGCTGGGATGAGTCACCGCGCGGCGCGCCGATTGGCCGGCCGCCGCCGTGACGTTCGTGAATCGTGGCCCGAGCGTTTCCGAGCGTATACGCGACGTGACGGCGAGCGTGTTACGGCGATTCTTTACGCGTGCCGCGCGGCCGCGGCCGCGCGGCGATGCGGCCGGTTGA